AAACATCTACTGTATCTAATGAATATAATAAGTGATGGACTAATATTAAAATTAAGGCCGATTTTATAATTCTTAATCTATTCTAAATCCAAAAGCAGCCAATTTTCAAGGGAGTTTTGGCATTACAACATTGTAATGTACAGTAGGAAAAATGGACATGAACATGTTCCTGGATCAACATCTTTTGTTGATCCTGGATCAACATTACTGTCCAAAAATATAGACTGAACCCAATCCCAAACCTAATCTTACCTATAATTTATTCCTAAAATCAGTGTGAAATGATAGCTGATTAACAAGGGTGTAGAAGCACCTAACCCTGATCGTAAGCCTAACACTGATATTTCCTGAAAAGTTATCCCTCAATTCTGATTGGTTAATTGGAATGCTGTTCCAGGGACATGTTGCACTTGGTGAAATCACGCTCACCATACCAATAAACCTATCAATATTTTTATATCTACATTTTGACCAACAGATGACCAATTTCATCATTGTGTATTACACACAGACAAAATCAAATCAATAATTTTAAATGCTGTAAGTGAATTTCAGCATCATAGCTCCATAATCTAGGGTATTAATTTTGAGATTTTATTAAAGATTTAATACATATATAATTAGGAATGTACTATTAAAATTGTTGCTGATATATCACTGATACCAACAAACCAGTCAATATTTTCATGTTATCTACATTTTCAATAGATGGACATTTTATAATTCTATATTATTTCGTCTAAATAATAAAAAAAATTAAATCAATACTTTTAATATGTTCATGTTTCATGCCATCAAAATTGTCAACAAATGGCCGATTTTAATCCTATAATGTAAATAGATAAATAAATGCATAGCACATAATTTTTTTATCTTTTTAAATACTAAAAGTGAATTTGGCCATTTAAAAAAATTTAATGCACAGTATGAAAATGAATGTGTGATTTTCATTTGTCATTACATTACATTTGTCAGTGTTATAAAAATAGTGTTTAAAAAAAAAACTAATTTAAATAATCTAAATGTTAAAAAGGGGGGAATGAGCATGCAATTAAATATCAAATATCAACTGATACTGAAAAAATAAAATTAAAATATACAAAAAATATATATCTTTAATATCCACCAATAACTGATAGGGTATCAAGATTTTGTACATTCCTAAATAATGAAATATTTGTAATTAATACAGTATCAGTATCAGTTTAGTGTCTCTTTATGTCTTCAAAGTGCATAATGTACTGTTTGCATTTAAACATTTACACATTATTTTCCCGTGGCTCCAAACTAATTCGTCACACTGCATTTGCCACTCAGAAAAATCATGCATCCAGAACTGAGTGGAATATCTATATAAATGTTGCTTTATCACAATGAATTGGCCAAATTTTTGTTGGACTAGAGTTCCACTTGCCCTCAACTTCTTTGTGTCTCAGCAGATCCAGATCAATTAATAATCCTGAACTAAAATATCAAAAAGGTGTGACATAAAAAAATCCCTTTGGTATTGATGTAGGTCAACAAAACTCAGGAAATCATGCCAGACCATGTTCTCTGAGTCATGTATCATATAAACAGGCTTCAGACCCCGGAAAGCTCATTCTTATTCCATGAATCCATATTGCTTTGCGGCCTTGAGAAGTGTCTGAAGCTAATACAGGAGTGTTTATTATTGAGAGCTGCTGCTTAAGCTTTCATATATCAAGGTCAGTGCAATGTCATCTTTGATATGCTTCATGTCCGGGGGAAAAGAGGCAGAAACTACAGAGCGGCAGTTAACATGACATGTAATTTTAAAGAGCAATCTCTTGAGGATCCTTGAAAATATCTCAACATGGGCTTTTTAGGCATTTTAGTTAAAGCAGTACTATGTAACTTTTTCTGTGTTCAAAATTTGCTAAATCAAAGTTTATTTACCGCTAGAGCGCCAAAAGTTACATAGTGCTGCTTTAAGAAAGGAGAATGTTTTATCTCCTATGAACTGTATTTGTGTTGGTTTATGCAGAGCTACTTCCATGTTCAATTGCGCTGTGACCAGAGTACAAAATTAACAATTGCCAAGAGTGACTGATGACTGATCGGAATCATTTTTTAAATCAAGTAAAATGTAAAAACTGTCTACTAAACAAAAATAGTTGTCTGGCTCATCTAAATGATGCTGCAAGTGACACAACGAAACGGCTAAATAATGTCACTGTTGCAGAGACAAAATATTTTATGAAATATTATAAAATATAAAATGTTTGTTATTTAAAAAAAAATGCATCAATATATATGTAGGCCTATACGAACAGTGAATTTTCTTAATTTACCCGCCATTGAAGTGGCAAAAATCATAATTCTGGACCCTGGTAGTCACAATCAGTTAAGATTGTGAAAGAGTGATTTCAGCATTAATAAGCATAAAATAAGTTCAATAATTCATATTTACTTTCTTCTAAATGTTGGAAATGGTGAATCGAAGTAGCTTAGTAATTTGAAATGTCCTGTGGTGTGATATGATCTATCTGAAACGCCTTCTGAATTGACATTTAATGGCAAATGTTATTATTTTGCACGCATTTATTACTTTATTTGAGAGCCTATATACACTTATTTTTTACTTTCTAAAAGTTGTTAATGCCTCAGGACCAGCGAAATGAACAAAGGAAATCAAAAAGTGAATTCAAAATAGTGAAAACGGGAAATGGTGAACAGTTACAGCACTAGGCCTACACTACCCCATATGTACATATTTTTATACTAAAATCTGTTAAAATGTCGATTTCAATTTGTCAGCAACCCACATGAATTCAAAAGCTTAGTAATTTGAAATGTCCTGTGGTGTGATATGATCTATCTGAAACGCCTTCTGAATTGACATTTAATGGCAAATGTTATTATTTTGCACGCATTTATTACTTTATTTGAGAGCCTATATACACACTTATTTTTTACTTTCTAAAAGTTGTTAATGCCTCAGGACCAGCGAAATGAACAAAGGAAATCAAAAAGTGAATTCAAAATAGTGAAAACGGGAAATGGTGAACAGTTACAGCACTAGGCCTACACTACCCCATATGTACATATTTGATCATTTTATACTAAAATCTGTTAAAATGTCGATTTCAATTTGTCAGCAACCCACATGAATTCAAAATAAATTTGAACGTAAATTTGAACCTTAAAAACGTTAATGTCTATTTTGTTCCCAGTTTGTTTTTCTGAAGTCTACCAATTGGCTAATGCTATCTTGCACCATGAGGCCTGTGGAGGAATTCAATCTTTGAGCTTGACAGCGGGGTCTAGTGCTGCCATAAACCTGAAGAAAATTGAGACAAACTGCTGCATTCGCCTGAAATCAGAAAGATTAATTTCTTATCTTTGACATCGACTCCATTGCACTCATATCGTCAAAGCAGAACAAATTTTTTTGCTTCTTCTTTTGTGAGACCTTCTTAAGATATTATCACCTGACATATGAAGGAATTGAGTTATTACTTTAAGCAGCTGCACTTTTTGTACAATTCTTGCCTGGAGGGAGGGACTCAAGCCATATCTAGACCATAATAAAACAAAGACTTGAGGGTGAACTCTTTTGACTGGGACCATTTAACAAGCACCTAGCAACCAACCAGATCACCTTATTTGAGATAAAGTCTCAGTTGTGTGAAACAAAGTTACAATTACAGAACATAAAGAGACAATTGTGAGATACAGTCACATTCTGAGACTATTTCTTATCATTTTGACTATATCTTAGTTGGAGACTCTCAAAATGTGATGTATTGTGATATTAAGTCACAACTGTGAGAAATAAAGGCGGATTTAGAACATCGCAATCACAAGAAGAAAATCAAAATGATCTTTTATTTTGTTTGAGAACACGCATACATAAGCAGTCTACAGTACCGTTTGGATATTGTAGAAATCCCTTTGATAACTTTGCTTAATCGTGGGTTGCAGCAACAAAGAAATGAGATTTAGAGATTTTCAGCATAAGTTCAAACAACTTGTGCTAATTAACATTCAACAAATTAAGCAGTTTCTTTTAATGTGGAATTAATTGCAAACAGCACACATGATCTCTACACAGTACCGTTGAGTCATCTGAAGTGCATCAGGCCTTTTGTTTGATTCATGGCATTGGTGTTTACTGAGTAAAATAACAAGAAAGGACAAGACTCACCTGATTTGAAGAACAGTTCCTTTTTCTTCTTTGCAACATTAAATCCTCAATTCAAAAATAGCATTATTGCATCATCAGACAAGTGTTGTTTTGTTGCTTGACATAAGAGGTCACGTGGGTTCATTTTCCCAGGTCGCATTGTATTTTCAGCTCGAAGCTTTCATGGTATTCCTGAATGTTTACATGAGACGACATTCTTCTGAGAAACGCTCTGCTGAGGGCGATGTCTGATGTCTGTCCAGCAGCGGGGCGAGATGACAGCAAAACACGCATGAGCTCGGGGAATCTTTCAGACTTCCTTGGCTTGCTTGGAGCAAAACCACTCAATTGACATCAGAGTTCAGTGATAAATCCATGTTCCCATGGAAACTTCATGCTATTTTTGGGCCTGCGAGTCGAGCTCTATAATAGACATTTGCATATTCATGTCTGGACAAAGAGAGACAAGATGCTCGAAGCATTTATCATCAGCCGTGAGCACTGATTGAATAGCTGCTTGTATCATAATTAGGTGCCATTAGTACTGGGAATAATCAGGCATCTTAAAGGACCCTTTAACTCAAAGACAGAGTGTTCCAGTTTTCACAAAGATTTAAAAGCAGCTGGTGCAATTACTGTGAGAGACTTATCTCAAAGTAATTGGTATCAAATCTTCATATCAATGTGTAACACTGAAATCAGTGTATTATTTTGATTTATGACTTAAGAATTAAAATTGTATGCATCATATTTTATCATTTCTAATGTTACATAATTTATAACAATTTATTATTAAGCTGCTAAAATTAACCATAAACCACACAATGAAAATAAAACAACATTCTAATTTATTTCATATTATATTTACATATGCGTCAATGGACAAGTACATCAGACATCAGCATGGTGGCAGATGCGTCATTGTTTCATCGCATGCAACCCCGAATAAAGACATCAAATGTATGACCACAGTGCAATCCATCTCATATTTTAACATCTGCATGGATAGCGTGTCAAGTTAATGTTGCGATATATGGGCTATTACATTAAGATATTATATTACAGAGTTAATGACAGCTTTAACTGACGGGCGGGCTGATGCTAAATTGGGCTGGTATTTTTAAATCATCTGAGGGTGGCGGTAAAGCTCTGAGGAATATGATCAGATGTGATGCCGTTATTCACAGATAATACTTGAATACAGACTCTGGCCGGGGGCTTTTAGAGCAAAAACTTCTCCATCTGTCTGTTATAATCCCCTTCTTTTTCTGCATCTAGCCAGAAGCCCCTAGTTCAACGAGAGCCAGGCGAGCAGATAAACACAGCCTCCAAAAAACAATCTGTGTCCATTTGTCTTATTCAACTGGTTAAAGAGCCATTAAATGTGATCTCTTTAATCTGGTTTTAATCTAACCAGGTACAGGTTTACAGGGATTATGAGAGTTCTGCTGTTCTGAGTGCATTTTAAGCTTATAATTGCGTACAGGTTTGATGTAGACTAATAAATCATCTCTACAGTGCATCCGAGGTCAGCTTGTGCTGCTTGACTGATTCAGCTTGGCTGAATTTGTAGGTCTGCATGCAAAAAGAAGCATAAACCATTACAATATTGTAATCCAGAAGGTCTTTTTGAGCACTAGCTACAGTTTTAAGGTCTTACCAAAAAGATAATGAGAGTCACAAGAGAACTGGTGTGGAAAGGATCTATAACAGTGTTTGTTCTTCACATCGGTCTCATCATGAATGGATGAGATGTGACAGGTCTATATTTGATTTGAAGATGACGGACAACTCTTTGGAGAGCAGATTATGCAATGCCACGCCGTCATGAGCGTACAGCCATCGCTCCCCCGTCCAATAGTAGCGTTTCGGCCCGCTGAAAAAGGAAACATTCAGAAATGTTTGATCAAGCTGAAAACTGAACATATTGCTCTCATTATAATCACAGTTAATATTTAAAGGGGTCATATGATGCAATTTCAAGTTTTCCTTTCTCTTTGGAGTGTTACAAGCTGCTCATGAATAGATAAGATCCCTGAAGTTGCAAAGACTAAAGTCTCAAAACCAAAGAGATATTCTTTATCAAAGTTAAGACTCTGCCATGCCCCCCTAAAATGGCTCATTCTAACACGCCCCCACATATCTACCTCACT